CCAGCCACTCCGTGGGAAGACGAGGGTGTCTCCTCTTGTCCAGGGTCACAGGCTCAGATATTCACAGGGGCAGGTCTACTCTGCCACTAGGAGCTGGAATTATGTGATGGCAATAAGTTTGCTTTTTTGTTTATTTGTTTGTTTTAGAGTAGTTACCTTTATCTTTATATAATAGACTTAAAGAGGCATTTTTGTTAGTAGTTTAAGGAAGTTTTTGGTCAGCTTGTTCCCAGGGAAAACTCAGCTGTTTAATTTCTTGTCTTTTCTCGTTTTATTTCACAATTTAGGCTTCCTAGTGTTTCTGCCGTAGAGCTTTGTTGTTTTGATTTGTGACCTTTTACATTGTACTTTGTTGTGGACTATACTGGGTGTAGGGATTGATTCTGAAATCTAAAAACCACAGTTAGGTAGATGTTACTCACTGTTTTGATGAACATGTGATTTAATAAAACTAGTGGAACAGCCAATTTTAGATCACTGAATTTTTATTTCCTGCCAGCTTTCCTCTTTCCTCCTGACCCTGTTTCACAGTCAGGTGTCTTGCAATCCCGTGTTTATGGTCGTCTTTGCCCCCACATATGCGCTCGTCATTCTGTCTTGTTTTTATTCATTTTTACCTGCCTCTGCTCCCTGGAAAGTTTGGCTGGGTAAAGATGCAGCTTCAGCGTCACTTTCCTCAGACCTCTGAAAACATGCTTCCATTCCCTTTCAGCATCCAGTGTGGTTGATGACAAATCTGCTGTCAGTGAGATCCATCCTATGCCCTTTATATAGGTCCTTTATATACTGGCTCATTCTCCATAAAAGTGTTTACGTTTTCTCTCTAGCTGTCTGAAAATTTTCAGAATACATCTAGATTGAGGTCTAAAGAAACTTATTTTTTCCGGAATGATTTTTTCCCCCTTTCATCCACCCCCCCTAATAAGGAACTCATGCTAGACTATGGTCAAATCCCTCAACTGTCCTTGACTTACACCTTTGTGGTTTTTCCCCTTAAAGCTGCAATATTCTCTCAAAGCTCTCTGGAGACTTTTCCTAGAATTTACTTCACAAAAGAATTTAAAGCCAGAAAAAAACAGAGAAAGGCAACTTGGCGAGGGGTGGGGGAGGCGGGAACAGGGATTGTATTAGATAGTAGGAAAGTTTTTTAACAAAAGAAAACACTATCAATGTCTTACTTGAGGCAAAAGAAAATGTATCCCTAAAATAAAACAGGAGAGTTCTGTTTGTTTTTAAGGAGCTCTTGGAAATACAGAATTAAATGATAGAAAATCTGGTCGCAGCATTAGAAGAACACTTTGAGGTAATTACCTAGAAATAAAACCAAGAGCAGACGTGGAAAGTGAAAG